CTGAATTGAATTTTTAGAAGTATTGACATCCTTGAAATGAAAAATAAAGTTTGGTTTGAACTGAGTCAATAATATAATATTAATCTTTTAATAACACTCTAGTTTTTCTAAGAAAATATAAAAAAGAAATTCTTCTTTCTCATTTGTCACAGAAATACACTACTATTTGCGATAATAGTTATGTTCTACAGAATTGTAACAATAGTCATAATTCTATAGTTAATAATCTTTATTTCGATTCAAAAGTAGCTAGAAAATCTTTGGACGTATATTCATAGATATACATCATAGTTGTGTTATATTTGTATACTTTAATCAAGATATTCGTCGTATATACACATTCGAGAACACTGGATGTTAATATGAGAGGACTTACTATATAGATGTATAGTATCCTTGTGATATGTTTTAATTGAAGTTTTTTATCAATGTTACACATATTCAAGCACTTATCAGATCATAGGTTTTCCAAGCATACAATGTTGAAGTCTAAAAAAATACGTATAGATACATATTTTTGTCTATGAAAATGCCCTTTAACAGTCCTGTGAAATGATCCATGTCCTTTTATCTTATGTATTCGACAATCTTATTCGAGCTTTTCATGAAAAGTCTAAGTATATGAATATAGAGAAAAAGTTTCTTTTTACAAACAATTTTAGGGCAGAAAATAATTACGTAGACACTATCTTTTTCTAAGAAATGGACCGAAATAAAATAAACCAATGGAACATAAAATGTGATGAATTCTATATTGGTTAGATAATAATCATACGATTGTATCATAACTAACTTCAGTTGTTCTCAAAAGATTGATCGTTATGAAATAATCGAAAAGTTTTCAACATAAAAAACTAATTATAATTATGCATTTCAATGCAATAATCTTCCAATATATTTATAAATATAGCAAATTCTACACATTTAAGCGTATAGATATTATAAACACTTTCGAACATGTTTCATAATAGATGACATTTTCGATATAGATATTTCATCCAAATCACAGTTATAATCATATTCAAACAATCAATATAAAACAAGGAAAAAACAAAATCGAAAAGAATCAATACTGTATCTTACTCGAAGTCTATTGATTTTATTGCAACAATTCACTTAGCGAAGAAATCATTATGAGATATTATAATCGAATTTCGCCGTTTCAAGTCATGTTAATAATTGCAACGTAGAGAACAATTAAAGATAAGAGAAACAAAGCAAAAAAAATAAAATACTGATTAGAAAGAAATTACTCAGTATGGAGAATACAGATTCGATATTTTGTCTGTTGATAGATTATATCCAGTATATATATTGTCAATCTTTTATTATTAAGTATTTGTATCACGAGAGAACAAGAAAAAATTCTTCGTTTTAGTATACCGGGTGTTCCAAAAGTTTTGCAACACTTTGTGTTTTTCATATATCTCAGTTTAAACAAAAGATCAAATCTTGAATTTAATTTCGGAAGATATACAATTCAATTCTCTACAAACTTGTGTTTAGCTTAATTTGAAAAATAATAATAGAACTGAGCATTTTTCTTGATCAAGTAGTATGATAATGTAAATTACATATACTTCCCACACCTGTTTCTAACTACACATTTTCTGACTTTCTCGTGTTTTAAACAGGCGCTTCAAAATCTAATTATCTGCAATACTATCATATATGAATGTTCTTTTACAATGATTAGTCTGAGTTTTATTACAATCTATTTAGAAGTAATAAAAATAATCTCTTATACATTATACTGCAGAAACAGTGTTCTTCGCATCGTTCAGATTCTTGTTTCAATTGAATTGTTTTATCAAATGGTTTTTTTTAACTTCGTTGAGAAAAAGAATTCCGTTTGCTACGAAGTCTTGCAAAAGTGAATTTGATTTGGCCACCGATCACGTTTTTAAGAGTTGTTTTTCTGGTGACGGATAATGGAGAGAAAATTTGTCGATTCTCAAAATACTGCTTTGTCAAGAATTCTTTTTTACAGAGTGAGCGAATGTTAAATTTATCTACAATCCACTAATACAGTGAGAAGCTATCTTATCGTCTATTATTTCTAAAAGTGAAACATTCACTCGTACAGAAAATAATTATTTAATAAAAGAATGTGTAAGCAATAAATAGAGGCATTTCATATCATCATACTATTTGGTCCATAGAAAGATTCAGCTCTATTATTTTAAATTAAGCTAAATACAAGTTTGTAGAGAATTGAATTGTACATCTTCCGAAATTAAATTCAAGATTTGATCTTTTGTTTAAGCTGAGATATATGAAAACACAAAGTGTTGCGAAACTTTTGAATCGCCAGGTACTCAAAGAGTACATCAAGGTAATCCTCAAGAATTTCTCAGCTACTTCAAGCTTACTATTAACGTATATCATAAACAAATCAGTTGAAGCTCCTTGTACAAAACTATTACTAATAATAAATCCAAATATTTTAGTAGATCCTAGTGACACTAAAATCATAAAATACCACGAAGTATTTGAGGTTTATTGTCAAATCAAATTTTCATACAATGAGATGAATTTATCTTCTAAAAAATCATTTTAACACCGAACCTTTTAAAGTTTAGCAGGAGCTGCAAAACTTAAAATGGTTTTTCGACTGGATACACTCTCGAAATCTTTACTGCAAAGACATTTTGATAGGCGTAGGACAAACAAAGGGTTCGATAATCAAAAGACGAAATAACTCAAGTTTAAAATGGAAACATATCGTTTTCATGTTATATTCTACGATTTGTGTATCGCACTAATATGGTTTCTTATTTTGGATATCAAAATCTTTTCGTCCTATGGATCTCAAAAAAAGTTTTGAAGATAAAATCTATTATTCAGAATGTGATATACCTTCGTCACACAAATCTATTGCATACTTGACATAATAAAAAAGTTCTTGAACATAGCTCTAATGTACTCTTCCAGTAAACTGAAGTATAATGAGATACGTAATTGTCACTGTTCTTCCTTGACTCGTATATGATTGTTTCTTGCAGTTTAATATCATACTTCTTCACAATGTCATCTATCGTATTCTCTTGCACGTTTCATACATACGTGCATTCTATACCTCGTACATTATTCATCTAACACTATACTCTAAGTTGTTCTATTTCAATGTTACACATAACTTTTATAAAATAGTTAAGCTATTTTATGTATCATGAATTTTTATCAATGAAAATGTCATCTATAATAATGTTCATTGAGAGTCAATGAGCAATACGTGTCAATTCGTAGAAATCTACATTATGTTGATGCACGAATTTATTCATTCGACTTAAAACTTGATATCGATTTTATTTTTTAATTATTATTCTCTATTTTAAATACGATATTTTTCATAATAACATACACTACAAAAAGAAAAATGAACATTTCATAGAATTAAAGAGAAAAATCTCATTTACAAAGTTATTTATAAACATTGATAAAAAAAACAAAGAAATCTAATCGAGCAGATTATCTCATTATAATTATGTAAAAAAATGTTTTCTCATTTTAAAAATACTTCCTATGCGATAAAACTCCTGATTCGTGACTTGTTCGAAAGAGAATTCAAACATTCACAAATTTTTTTACTTTCGTTTTTTTCCTATATGTCTTTTGTTGTTTAGATCACAATATTTCAAATGTTAATCTAGACTATGTCTTCAAAACCATGACGTAAGAAATCAATGACATGATTCTCAAGTTTATTTGAATAAAATTTGTTTTATAATTTTAACGATCCTGCTAAATAACATCCAATTATTTTCCTGAAATCATCATTTCTGAACATAAAGAAAAGACCATTTATTGAGCGAGTTTTTCGCACTCATATTTTATAGATAAGAAAATGCTACAGTTAATAATATTCAAAATAAAAAATACATTATTAGTTTGCTCAGCATTTTATTCTGTGTTCCATTGTGCAAAAAATATTTATACGTCAAGTTGATTTGATAAAATTTGATTCTCTCTATAATGTCATTTAAATACTAGTATCTTTCAATTCCAACCAGTTTGTTTTGAAATGTAAAAGTGATCATAGTCGAAAAGAGTTTTGAAATAAAAGAAAAGAAAATTTATTATCGATCTATACTTAAATATCTTAGTTTAACTACATGAAATATCTCCGCAATAAAAAAAAGAGATATGCCAAAATCATAACTCTTGTATACGCAACTTTCGATAGCAGTTAGAAAACTGATTGTATGCTAATATTCAAAATTTTGCAGTGAAAAAGAAAAAAAAACATACATTAAAAAAAAACAGAAATCGGCAATTTTGTAGAGTATTGAGTTCTCTTTCGAATGTGTCAAGAGTTTATTCGAATGAGTAGTGTCTCAAAAATAAAACAAATATTTTGATTCATTTATTATGCGCCATCGTTATTTCTCAACGAACATCGATTGAAAAATCATATAAGCTTTTCTAAGTTATCTTTTGCAACTACAACTGACTGTTTTGCATTAAACATGTTGATTTTAACTAATAATAATACTGAATTTAAGATTACAGTTAAAGTCTTATAAAAACTGAATATTATTTTTTCTTTTAGAATGAATATAATGTCCATTAAAAAAAGAAATTGAAAGCTAATGCATATATGCATATCCATTCAACTGTTTAAAACAGCACGTAATAGACAACCAGTGAAAAGATTAATAACATATTTCCGACATATAATTACAAATATTTAAGATGATCTATGTGCTCTTTATCTACATAATCGAATAGAAATATACTAAGTTACTTTGCTAAGTTCTTTAAATAGGCTTCATACAATTGAAAGCATCATAAAAATATATTATTTGAACTTTCTAAATTCTTTAGTACCCTCGATGATACACATACTTTGTTATATGATAATAAAGAACGATTTATTTTATTTTATTTTAACGAAATAAAAAAAAAGAAAATCAGAACAACAAACAAAGTCAAGAGAAGATAGTTAATCATAGAAACGAAGAGTTAATTTAGTTTTTGATAGATTTGATGAGTTGAAATTAATTGAATAAAGGAATACCTGGAAATATCGCACGAAGAAATTGTTTAAATGGCTCTTTAGTATCCGAAATTTTTAATCCTTGATTTTTTATATCTTTTTCAAATTCTGTTTGTAAACCATTAAAGAAATTCGTACATGTTTCTGCACTATTTACCGATTGTATGTTACTTTCAATAGAGTGAACTGAAAGTGGAAATTGTTGGAGTTCTTGCATGGTATTCAATACAGGTGGTATCATCTTTGCATTTAATGGAAAAGAATTACAAAGCATTGACATAGGATTTTGTGTCAGCGCTTCTGAATCGGCCCAACCGAGCGATGCGATAACGCTAACTATTAGAAATAACTAAAACAAAAAATCAATTTTGAATTTTTCTTTCAGGTTTCACTACTCACTACAAGTACTATTCTGTTCATAGTTGTTGTTTTTCTTGGTGACTTTTTTTTTGTGCTATTACCATCAAATGCGCTGCGATCGAAAATGTAGGCATTTATATAGAGAATAAGCCATGCTTATGACAACATTCGTCATAATTATATTGTAACCAATAGAAATCAAAGTATTTGTTTACATAAAAATTGGCTTGACCGAATCAGATAAAATCTGTTATTGATCGAACCTCAATTATTTATTTACTCAAAGAAGAGAAAAAAGATCGTTAAGTGCTGAAATCTGTCTTGTCTCGAAATTGTTTTTATTACTTTTCCATGGGAAAATAAGAAACTCAATTTCGACAGAAGACTGGTTTCATGGTTGAATGAGTTCCTCTCTTTTACTAATACCATTAAAACCTATGTTCTTTGACATACTTTCACCTTAACTTTATTCCTGTAATTTAATAAATTTATCAGATGTCTTTTGGAATGATAAACAACAGCATGAGCTTGATTAAGTACATTTGAATAGTATAATATCGTAAACTTCTGTATGATTGAACTAAAAAATGATGCATCACTGACTAGATATTTTCTATGGATCTTATCGAAAACTGTTTAATTTCTAGTATACTTAATTCGAGATATTGAAGATAAAACCTCCTATGTGTAGTTGTTTGTAGCATTATGATACCCTCAAGTTATATAGAGGAAATATCTACTTTACCACGATGTTCTCATTATCTCCGATATTTCTATATCTAGACACAGATCAAATGCATCAGAACTCTAATGAGTGTCCAGGAGAAATTGATAGGGGTCATTTTTCGTATGGTATTGCTCTTTCTTTAGTGCATTCTCAGTTTGGCATTGTTGTATACATGTCAAGTTTTATATTCAATCAGTTGATAATGTTTACGACGTAAATATTTTGATTAACATCTAGAACAATTTATTTTTGAATGATTAAATAACTTTCAAAATCATGTTCATCAACCTTATTATATAGATTGATGTTCTTCTGTTTGTTTGGAAATATTCAACCAAGAAAATGATTCTATTACATTTATAGTATAAATGGTTTAGGAAACTTTATTGAATAGGATTCTTTTTTTGTTTTTTTTTTACTTAGATTGAAAATATGAATAACACAACTGAAATTGTTGAGAACGATAGAAACATAAGTATTGCAACGACATTCTATAAGAACTTTAGTGCATAGAAGCATACAAGTGATCGGAATATTGTTTTTAAACGACTATTTTTTCGCATGTTTTTTTTTTCGATCAATACAACTGCGAAAAAACATGATTCAGCAGTTTATTTTAATAATTATAGTCTCGAAAGACTTAAACAAATAAAACGAAAGAAAACGAAAACATCACACTTAAAAATTTCATAAATAAATTAAAAAAATATAAGAAGGAAGAAAAATCATAATTCTTGAATATGAAAAAACAAAATACGAAAAAACAAGTCATCAAGAAGGAAAAAAGAATACGCTTTCCATTCAGCTACCTTGCACTATAGGATTTCGTCCAATGACAGATTCAATAATTGATGTTAGCTGTAGCTATAAACGAAAAGTTATCATGACTTAGAGTTCTTGTACTTCAGTGCTTATACTTCCCATGCACACTAACTAATTTTATACTAGCCATAAAAGCAGGTGTAAGTCACAGCAAAATCAGCATGCTATGAGATGGATGAATCGAGATACGTGTTCGTTAGTATTTTGCTCATAGTTATGCTATGACTGATGATACCAAAACTTGGCATCAGTACTTTGAGGATGTGTTATCGAACAACTTATGCACTAAGTCTACGCAATCGATATTGATAATTTTTGTTTTCGTTTTACAAATGTAAAGAAGGTCATTCACTTCTGAAAAAGTCAAGTTTCCATTCGTTTTAATTTCTGAGAAATCATAGCAATTGCTCAAGTACCTAGTTTTTAACGTCAACTGTCGGAAGTCAACTAATATTTCTTTTTTTGTTTCACTGCAACTTTTTTAAAAGTGCTTTTTCAGATAGAGTTGAAAAAGTGTTCAAAAGCTTACAGAATATGTCTTTGGTTTCAGCCTTAGGCGAAGTTTTATGAATGATAAACTATCGACAATAGGCGTCAACACACTTTTCAAAATTTGTCTAGAGCATCATTAGAATAAAAGGTATTTCGCTTGACGAAACTTCATTTGAGAAAAACTTGTTAGATATCTATCATGGAGAAAGAGGTAGAAAATAATTTGATAAGTAAAAGAGATTTATCTCATAAACTTTGTTAATACAGAAATTTTACAAAAAATTTAAAGAAGACGATGTTTTTAACCCTAGTAGTACCATTCGGGGTCATTTTCGACCCCCCTCAAAAATTTAAAAATATACTAGAGATATTTTGTTTTTCCTCAGTTTTTAGAAGCAACTAGCATCCCTTACGAATAGATATACGTTGTTGAATTTGAAAAGAAATACATTTGTTTTCCATATCATTACAATCTTTTGATTCAAGACGATGTCTTCAGTATACAACAAATATATAACAAGAAAGGAAAAAAAAGTAAAACTTGCAATATATAATTGAATGACTCATTCACTAATCTAAGTGGAGGGTGTGGGTGTGGGTGGGTGTGGGTGTGGGTGGGTGTGGGTATGAGTGGGTGTGAGTGTGGGTGTGGGTATGAGTCTTTTCATTCATCCACATCCACACCCAAACCTCACCCTCACCCACATCCACACCCCCACCCCCACCCCACCCACACCCACACCCACCCTGAAAACAGCATATTTCAACAGGAGACTGATCCAAAAGTAAAAACAATTACTTTATGAAAATATAGGTTGTCAGTATAGTGCGTAAAAATGGACGGTACTATTAGGGTTAAAGATGCATCAAGAGCGATTTTTTGAATTTTGTTATCGCTTTTAATCAAATAAAAATGACCTGTCTGCGATAAAATTTTTCATCTTTTTTTCAACTCAGTTGGATAATCTTTCAAGTAACCAAGCGAAAATCTATCTTTATCCCAGAGAAAATCTAGTTTTATTAACATAATGTACAACGACATTTTTTTGAGATATCTATGCACTAAGGCTAAATAAAATTTGAAAACAGAATGCAGAGATCGGCTGCAACATAGAAAACTATTGAGCAAGTTATTTTCTTACACATTTCCCACTGCTGTTTAAAACATAACACGTCGTTCTTTCCTATTATTATACTTATTTTCATCGATTTTTTTCCTCCTGTGGTACTATAGTTGTGCTTTGGACACAAATATGTTTTATTTAACAATCATCATTATGACTTTTGTTGAAACAGATGCAGTTCATTTCAAAGGCATACAGAAGAATTACAAATAAAAGTACCAAATCAGTATATTTCTTCATGATCTCATGCATCTGATTCATTATGAGCTGTTGAATGACAACCAAAACAAATATTACATGGTGTACAACACACTAATGAACGTAGAGCTGTCCTAGAAAATGAACTTATTGAATTTTCATCCCCAGTTCTATTTTCTGATTTCATTACACGAGTACGTTGTTTAATAAAAAGAGCTGCCTCTCGATCAATTTTTGCACGATTTCGAATTAACTAAAACAAGCACAG